GGGGCAGTCATCTCATCCCCTCCTTCAGAATCATCATAATCCTCCTCCTCCATGTAGGGAGTGGGATCAAACTCATTAATGTTGTTGCAATGGGGAGGGAGGCCGAAGTTAGGAAGAGAAGTCCCTTTGGGGAGCAGGGCCAGCTTGCTGCGGAAGATGTGCTGGGCCCGAAAGAGTCCACATCGGAAGGATTTCTTCGCTTCCCCAACCAACCAGTCTATCCTGGGCTGGGTCGCGACCCACTTGGGGACCTTGCAGAGCAACCTTGCAGGCTGCGATGCTCCCTCTCGAGGTTGGAGCTGCGACGCTTTTCTTCCAGTAGCTCCCTCGCGAGGTTAGAGCTGCGGCTCTTCTCCGCCTTTTTCACCTCATCCCAAGCAGACCGATGAAGGTGCTCCCGGCTGGCGATCTCAAGCATCCCAAACGAGGCCTGTACCAAGGCATGAAGGGTCAAAAATGTATGACAAGGCATGAGAGAATAAAGAAAAGAAAAGAAGACAAGGCCGAGGCGGATACCTGGCTGAATTTTAAGAGGACCATATCGGCTAGGTCGCTTAGAGAGCTGGCGCAAATACGGGCCCGATCATGGGAAGGAAGCATGATCGTGGTCTCCACCGGGAAAATCTTCCAAGCCCAGAGATGGACAGTGGGGGATTCTAAACATCGTCGAGCCACCCTCGGTCGCCACCTCGTAGGTCAAGGCATGTGGGTGGGAGGTCACTCTGAAGTGGCATCCTAGGACGACCCTGGCAGATCGCTCCCAGGACTCGTGCGCGGGGGAGCTTGTCACCATCGCCCCCACCTCTGGGGTCGGCTCTTCTTGATCCTCGCTCGATCACCACCTGGTCGAGCTGGAAGCAATCCTCATGGCTCGAGGATGGACGGCGCTCCTCGCCTTGGGGGGCTACGTCCCTCTTCCTCTTCTTCCCTCCAAGGAGATAACGCAACATCAGTTGGTCGTCCATCTCGCCTTCTGATCCCTATTGCTCAACTGAAACACACAAGGCAGTTAGCATACAAATGGTAATGTCGAAATACTCAGTCAAAGGGAGGGAGGACTTACCAAAGGGACCGAAATCGGTGTTTCTTCCGTGGAGATCCCTCAGCAAGTTTGGCTGGTGGCGATGTTTGTCCCCGATGAACTCAAACCCAAGCTTGGCGAGGGATTCCTCGGTGACCACTGATCTAATCTCGACGGCGCCCCCGTCGCAGAGCTTTCTTGTGATGGACAGAAGTGCGGTGTTTGGCGGTGGAGGCGCGACACAACGAAATGATGGGTGCCCAGAACCCGTGAAAGGAGATTCGGGCCTCGTGGAAACAAAGACAAAGAAGGGTTTCCAATCCTTGGTCGAGCCCTTCTTGTCGCTGGTAAAGAGTTTGCTCGACCGCTGGGAAAGAGTGGCGTAGGAGGCCCAGTCTGGCCTTGTGGCCCTTGGCGAGCTTGAAGGGGAACAAAATTGGTCCATGCTGGGGTCAGCTTGGCCTCTTGACATTTAATCAAGTAGCCCGTGATGTAACGGTAGAAATTTAGGACTAGTTGGCAGGGCAAGAGATCCACTTTGTTGAGGAACTCCACCAACAAAGGGTGTAGGGGAAACTGCAACCCCTTTTTCAAGGAGGCCAGGTGGATTGTAAAGAACCCCAGAGGAGCATCTAGAGCGGTTTCAGTCTTGCTGGGTCGCCCATATCAGTAGCGTCGGCAAACACTTGGCCATAGATCTGACAATGGCACAAGGCCATAATGTTCTCCTCCAACTCGACCCTAGAGCCCCGTAACACAGGGGGTGGAGAAGGGAACAACTTCCTCAGCCGGCATCACTTCTGGCCGGTTGCGACCGTAGATGACGGCTAAGGCGGGTCGGATCGGCTCTGATCCTAGGCGGAAGGGGCCGATTGATCGGCCTGGAGAGAACTAGATGACGGGGAAGGAGAATCTGAATCCAAAATGAACATGATGGCGAGTGAAGGACTGACCTGGAGATGAAGTAAATGGGTCGGGTTGTAACGAAAGAACGGATTGATGAAGATAGGGATGGAAGTAGGCATCCAACGTCGGTTTTATCAGAGCAAAGGGGAAGGCGAAGGAGCAGGTTATTATTGCATTTGAAGGAAATCGTGCCAACCGTCACACGAATACCAATGAACGGCTTGGTTCAATTGAGGGGGTGCCCACGTGGATCTCCCTTGACGTGGCCCGCTTGAGGAATGAGGAGTTGGAGGGCTTGTGATTGGCTGATACCCAACGGGAGGCCAAAATCTCGTGCCCAAGAGGCGCTTGGGTACCCGTATGTGTGTGCGTCGGTCCTTGGCCGGCCCAAAGGCTTGGGCCTGGATCGATCCGAATGAATACAGCTGGGGAAGTCGGAATTAGAGAAGGAAACACAGATGGATGCGGAAAAATAGCCGAAGGAAGGGGATCGCGCGAATCTCGGATTAGCTTCCATAAATTGTAAACTATCATAATTACGTAGATGACATGTATAAATAGGGAAGATCCGAACGGGAACCCTCAAGCTAAACCTATTGAATAATTCCATAATTATCAAGTTCTCGTTTTTTATTAATTCTTTCAATCCGCCGTTCAAAGTCGGATCATTTGGTGGATTTATTGTCCATCAAATAGTGTTGATGAATTCATCCAATCTAGTATTGTTTCTCATATTATTTGCTTACGAATTTGGGATGATTTGAAAAAAGGGTGGGGCTATAGCCACGCACATTTTTTCTAATGCCACCCCATTTTTTGTATGTGGACAATTATACCCTCTAAGTAAACTAGGTGCAGTACTCCCTCCGTCCTAAAATTAACTTTTCATTTAACTTTTCACGGTTTCCAATGCGATACTTTGACCAATAATATCTCAATTTTTATATAAATATATTTTATAAAAATTATATATTTCAAAACTATGTTTCGAAATGAATCTATTGCTAATAAATTTATATGAAAATTCAATGTATTTTTTCGTATTATACGATTAAAGTTTAAAAAGATTTGACTACAAAAGTCAAATTGCGAAGTTAATTTTAAGACAGAGTGAGTATCTTTTTTACTCTAACTTTTTTCTCCTCTATCCCCCATCCACACAATATTTTATCCCTAACAAATCCATACTCACCTACTGCATTAGTCGATCTCCTCGTCCACACCTCTTCCTCTGCTCAATTCGCATTTCAGTGGCAAACTCCAATTTTTTAATTAGATAATGTACAGATTTCTCTTCCTCGTCCAATGTTTTGTTGTGAAAGATTTTAATGAGTTGGATGCTTAAGTTTTAAATGATATACTTTCCATTGTATTTGAAATTTTTCACAACATACATAGTGATAAATAAGTGTTCATACCATTTCAAAAACAATTTCATATTGTGATGAGTTTTCTTTTGTTTTATTTTTTTTGCCGTTAGAAAATTTTGTTGCAAAACAAATCTCTGATGGACAATCTTGATGAGTACTGTTATACGTATGATGTGGATGGACTAATTAATTTGGAAGCTCAATTGTTGAATAGGGAAGAACGAGCGATGCCCTTTTATTCATTGGACAGGAGCAATATTAAGCACGAATGCACGATAAATTTCAAAGTCAAGATGAACTTGTTTGTATTAGAAGCCATTAGTTGAGTACATTAAGGTCCATTTGGTATACGAATTTGATGGAATTAGAATTGAATTGGAAATTAAAATTCTATGTAATTGATTTGAATAGAATTTAATTTTCTAATTCCAATTTGAAGAATGATTAATTTCCAATAATCATAATGGGGAGATTACATGTGTATATATACAAGAGGGTTTCCTAGTTAGGGTAGGAAACATATATGGTAACAATACACTTTAGGTAATTACAATAATTACAATATTAAATATAGTAAGAATATATTTAATATGCTCCCGACGGCGCTGGTAGAGAAGGCCGAACGCCCAAGCAATCCCAGAACTCGGAGAAGATGATGGACGGAAGGCCCTTCGTGAAGATGTCTGCGTACTGAAGTGATGAAGGGACATGAATGACGCGAACCTGTCCAAGAGCTACCTTGTCACGAACAAAATGAATATCAACCTCGATATGTTTCGCGCGCTGATGCTTGACAGGATTTGCAGATAGGTAGACTGCGCTGATGTTGTCACAGAAGACGAGTGTGGATCGTGTGAGGGGCTGCTGAAGCTCGAGGAGAAGGTTCCGGATCCAACTGACTTCGGCCACAGCATTTGCTACGGCTCTGTATTCGGCCTCGGCGCTAGATCTGGACGTGGTGAGTTGGTGCTTAGAGGATCAGGAGATAAGGTTGTCGCCAAGGAAGATGCAATATCCGGTTGTGGACCGGCGAGTGTCAGGGCAACCAGCCCAGTCAGCATCTGAGTAGGCACGCATGTGATCCGTTGGCGACGGAGTGATGGAGATGTCGTGTGAAGGTGTGCCATGGAGATACCGGAGGACCCACTTCATGGCGGTGACGTGGGACGTGCGTGGGGCATGGAGGAAGAGGCAGAGCTGCTGGACTGCATAGGTGATATCCGGACGAGTAAAAGTCAAGTACTGCAGTGCCCCGACAATAGACCGGTACAGTGAGGGGTCCGCGGCAAGTGAACCTCCAGAGGCCGACATCTTTCCCCGTGTGTCAAACGGGGTGGAAACTGGTTTGCACGAAAGCATGCCTGCCCGATCTAATATGTCATACAGGAACTGTGTCTGTGTGAGAAACAGACCATGGGTGGTGCGCTGAACATTAATGCCGAGGAAGAAGTGAAGAT